GTGTTTGGCTGCAGCCAAAGGAGTGGAACCAGCCACACTCACTCACGACCGCCGTGTGCCTACCTCAGACCAGGGTCCAGCTTTCCACTGGGCAGGGCAGGGCACTCGGTTGCAGGGCCTGCGGCTCTCAGGGCGATCTCCGCTGCAGTACTTGAAATGGACGGAGCGGTTTGCGCCGTCAGGAAGGGGCTGAATGCACCGCACAGTACGGAGCTGGTAGCCAGAATTCCCACAGGTTTTTGTGCAGTATTCCCACTCGTCTGCTGCCCAGCTGGGAAGTACAAAGGAATAAGAAATCATCACAACTTTTACCTGTTCTCTGTACTGCTGCCAGGTCAGGCAACCCTTAGCATACAACATTTCTGTGATGAAACCACTCGGTAAGATCAGTAACCGCTCTGATGGTACAAAAACCATCTGTAACACAGCAACTCCAGCCTAGAAAGCTGTCAGCACCCTCCCAGGTCTGGCTGGGCTTAACTTCCACGCTTACCACCAGGAGCAATCACTTCTATCTTGATGCGAGAGACACTCACAGAGGCTGTGTGCATTCCTGAAGGTTGCACATTCTACGAATGGGCTTTGGCTTTTTGCTGGCTTCACAGAAGCTGCGATGAACCATTTTGTTATCACTTTTCCTGCGGCACCCGTACTTGGTGTACTGGAACCCTGGAAAATATTTCAGAAAAATTAGGAAAAACAGGTCCTTCTTACACTTTTTGCTTTACATGGAAGTTTTATGGCCTATTACATGGTTTTACATGACAGATAGTTACAAAGTATTTAAACATGCTCACATTTTGTTCAGTTGTCAGGCCAAGATTGCCTCCCAGTGCTCTGTGGATGCTATTCAGAACACATCGCTGCGATCGGGTTTTAAGGCCAGAAGGGACAGTTGTGACCCCTTAGTTTAACCTCTGCATTTCACACAAACCATGGCAGAGAGAGGGGAGAAATTACCTCCTTAACATCGAGCAGCAGGTCACTGGCTAACCTGGGAATGCACCCAAGTCTCAGTTCAGTGTTCTGGCTCCCAGAACACATCACCTGCTCCACTGCTGTATGGAGAGTTAAAGTGATTCTGACATTCACATTCCCCATCCTTTGCCTAAGAGTCATGTACATACCAGAAGTAAAGAGAATGCTTGCTAGCAGAAATGTCTGAGTCTGTGCTTCCCAAGTGGCTTTGGGTATCGAATTTAAGCCTTTAAAAATGGACTTTTTTTTTTTTTTTTTCCTAGGCTGGAAGTGTGACACTTTTGAGTAATCAGACAGTTAAAGATATTTAAAGCTTGGGCACCTAAAATAACAAGCTGCTTTTAAAAAAAGGAAGGCCAAGATTTCGAAAGCATTCACTTCCCCCACCTTTCACTTTTCCCCTTTTGGTAATTCGTCAGTCATTACTAGAAGGTGCTACATCATCTGCTTACCTCCACCACAGGGCTTGGAGCACTGAGACCAGCTCTTTAACGCCCACTCAAAAGTATCTATTTCTTCCTGGAGGACGTTGTTGCTGTTGATAGTTGGCACTGAATCCTCGTGAATGATGTATTTGTAAGTCAGGCTAGATCTTGTGTCATTCTCCCGAGGAATGATCTATTAATAACCAAAGGTAAACAGTGGTACAAAACCAGAGCTATTATTTATTCCTTTGCAAAGTAAAGAAACCAAGGCCTGCCTCTTAGGGGAAATGTGGAACCTGCTAGTTAATTCATTGGGCAAAAACCCCTGGTTTTTGTCTTCACCGTTAGAACTAACAATAGTAAGATCAACACAGAGCCATTTCATATGAGATACATTTCTAGGCTAGCATTCTAAGCTGGCCAAGTAGGACACCATCATCTAGGAGGAAAGGATGGTGTGGCCACATCTTTTACTTGGCTGAAGAGTTGGGCTGGTCTCAGACAGGGTTTGACATGCAATGCCCTTTTCTGGTCCACTGAAAGTGTCCTGCTGATGTCCGACAATGCAATATATCGGGCTTCTGACTGACATATGACTGCTGTGTAAAGAGTCAGGAGTTGACAAGAGAGGGTCACAGCTACAGTGAGAACAGGGCTTCAGGCTACCGGCCGTCTCATCAGCACGTCTCTTCCAGAGAGGCGTTACCCCACCATGTTTTATCTCGGCACAAGCTCCACGCTGACCTTGCACTTTTGATAAACCCACCATATTCCCACTGCTTGACATGGAACCTACCAGCACAACCACTGCATCGTGCAAGGGCCCATCAGTGTGGAGAGTTTCTATGTCGTCTTCTATGTTGTACTCCCACTCCACGCCCAGGTCGATGAACGATCGGGATCTGGCCTCCTCCCCTTTCCCATTCAGAATATAGTGTCCTGTGGCCTGGTTCTTAATTGCTGAAAGGATTGAAAAGAGTGCCAGTCGTGCCTCCCACCACAGCATCAGCAGGCATGGTGGCCTACGTGAAACTTGATAGGACACAATCTAGAAGGCCTTTTGCAAAAAACCCCAACGTGCTAGCAAGTGCTGCAGAAGCTTTGGCTCAGAGAAAGGCCATCTCACGCAGCCACCAAATTCCACTTTGATGACACGTGCATTTGCCTATTTGCTTCAATTTTGTACCTCCTTATCCACGTGAACTAGCTATAGAGACAGACCTAGAGAAAGACTGCAGCACCTCTCCCTCTGCGATGCCCGCACCTCCCATGCTAGCTCAGTTCTCAAAAAGCACAGGTAGCAGCAAGGAACTCGGGTTAAATCTTCAGGATCACCCATCTTCCTTATTTGCATAAGACCAAGATGAGTGTTACTGGGGAATGCCTCTTAGTAGAGCAGACACCTCAGCAGACTTTAAGTGCATTTCTTATTTTCCTCAGATTATGGAAGTGACAACTTTTCCATCACATCTGAGCTTCTTTGGTGTACATATGCATATACCAGATGCTAAAATCAGTAAGCAAAGAGCTGAGGCATTTGAACCCCTGGGAAACTACTTGGTTTTGGGTTCCTACGCCACACCTTGAAAGTCACACAGTGTGGGGATTATTATGATGATGATGCTCCAATTAGAAGCCAATACATCAGCAGTCTGAAAGACGGACTTGTTTTTTCTTTTCTACAACTTTTTCCAGTGCACCATAAAACATGATTAGAAAAAAAAAAACCTATGCAGAAATCTGACAAGTTCCTATGATTAAAGTAATCCAAATGCAGGAGCTCTGCAGTACCTAGCAGGTAGCTTCATGAAGCCACTTGCTGCCAAAGCAAAGCTATCCTTCTCTGAGAGTTACTATTAGGCTGTGCTTGGTCCGAAATTAAGCTCGTGGACCTCAAAAGCCAAGTTTGAAATTATCACAGTTGAAACAATTTCTTTCCCCCCACCCCCCCATCCCCCCCTTTTCTATTCCTACTTCTTTTTAGTAACAAATCCAACTCTGCCTGAAGGGTTTACAGCTCAGACACTCCCCTAGCACAGGAGCAGCTGATTAAAAGGCTGTTAAAATCCACCAAAGATGGATTTTTCTAACACTAAAAAGCCCTTAAGCATTAGAAAATGGTAAGCAGTAAGAAACAAATTGATTGACAACAGTATGAACTGTCCTACGTGAGAAAAATCTGAAATGAAATGGACTGCAGAGATACCACAAGTTCCTCAATCTTCTTTCCATTATAATAGCTGCTCCGTACAATCTGCAGCAAATAATAATAATTAAAGATCCTGAATTTGATTTGCATCATAGAATACATAGTTTTTACTCTGGCAGTGCCTGTTTAAATGTGAGCCATGACCATCTTTTGTTAGTAAACATGCAAACTGGGATCAGTTTAATATTCTGAAGAATTCAATGGAGAAGTAAATGTTTGTTTGCTGAGCTTATGCTGTTGGACTCAGTCCTTAACATGCAATTTTGAATGCACGTATTTACCCCAAACATTTTTCTTTGGTTACCTCATTTCTCAGGTTCTTCTGCATGACTGCCCCGTGCTTCTCATCATGCCTCAAAGCCAAACCCAAGAAAACACTTACCAAGAAAGTGAGGAGAAGCCTCGTCTTCTTGGACAAACACATGTCGAGCACCGGGAGGGATATCAAACATCTTAAGGTACCCTTTGGCATGTGTAGTAGTCAATGGAGAAAGCAGAGATGGAAAGAAAAAGTAATAGCCATGGTTAGGAGCGCACTACATGACCCAGCTCCTACTTGCAGAAGAGGGCATCCACCACCAACTGAGGAGCAGCATCAGAAAGAACTGAGCAAATAGATTTGTAACGTATTCAACAGGACCTCCCTGTGTTTCTTCTCTTTCAGGGAGAGAAACCGGTTACAAATCTATTTGTCACTTGATTAGCTACACGGTTAGGAGCCATATCAAGTAACAGTTCAGGCAAAAAATATGTTTCCTATGTTCCTCAGCACGTAAGGGGGAAAAATATGAGTTTTCCTGATTATTTTTTCCAAATCACTCATCAGCCAGGCTGTTGGATTCGAGCTGACTTACTGTCACGTTAGATGTTAATGTCATAAGTATGTCTGCTTACTTCTGAAATGCCAAAGACCAGAGAAAGGTGGGTGTCGTACAGAGTACATCGTCACTGCACATCAGAAGAGGCTTGTCTGTATGGCAATAAACCCAAACTATTTACAACTGTGAATGTAAAATGTATCAATGTGACGGGGCTGAATTCAACACTCTACAGCTAAAAGTAAAAAGCTGTTCCCAAAGAAAGTGGTTCTTATTTTAAATGTCAATTACTTATTGGTCCAAACCACGGGTAATTAGTGTAACATGAGTTAAGTATTGTCATCAGAAGACTAAAATCCCTCCTAGGGACCTGTCAGCAGGTACTGCTAGGTCGAGTTTGAAACAAGAGCATCATAAGCACTCTGACTGCATGCTATCTTCATGTTTCTCTTATTTTCTCTTTAGCATCTGCAGATTTAATTAGGATAAATCTTTGCAGATCCCTTTTTTTATGAGTTGAGTAAGTTTCTCTCTGTTTTGTACTCTGCTATGCAATCTTCCTGAGTAATCCAGCCTTGCTACAGCAGGAGTGTAGATGTGACAAAGAGTTTTATTATGTGTGCACTGCAAACACAAGACGTAGCATTAAAGTAATTCTGTTTCATCCTGGGGATTCTGGGACTAATTAACATGTTGGTCGTTTGTCACGCACCTGACATCCTACAGCTCCTTGGAAAACCTAAGTGAAGAAAAAGAGGAGCTACAAATAGATAAACTCACTGCCTTGGCTGAGGAGCGACTGTGCAAACAGCACTTGCCAATCTTGTCACTGATGGTCTTTGGAGCATACGAAACACAAAGCTTTTGCCTGATTTGGCGTTTTCTATCGATGTCTGAGTGGAGGTGAGAACTGCAGCGAGAACTCTCGAGTTGCCGTGGATGCCTCTCCTTCTGCAAGCACTTGCAACTTACCCAGCGTATTTTTAGACTCCTCTGTTTCAGAAAGGGAAATATTGCGAGCTCCTTTGGGCAATGTAAATGCTCCTCTTGTCTTCCCTTAAATAGAACGTCTGTAATTAGTGCTATGGGAGCCAAGCCTTATTATTTCATTGACTATGTTTGTCAGCCAGATGGTCTTTACAAATGCCAAGTATAAATTACACTATGTGTTCAAATGCATTTAAAGCAGAATTAAGACACATCTAGCAAATTTTAATAGTCAATGAAAGTCAGACCAGTGAAAATTTAGGTAGGTGATTTTAAGTTGGATACTTGCAGATTTCATTTTCCAGCAACTTGAATTCTTTTTGGCACCTCTTGCTTAAATGTTTTCCTGTTGGAAGAGGTCAATTAGTCTTTTTAATGACTAGATTGCCAAAGTTACTGTAAAACAAGAAACATTTCATAAACACTTCTATCGCTTTCAGAAACGTTTACAAGTGGCTGATTAACAGCAGCCTTCCCTGAGCTATCTCCTTGCACTGCCTCTCATTTTGCATTGTCATGCTTTCCAGTCACTGAAAATGCTGTGCAAAGATGCAATCTTGAATTATTATTCATAAGAAATGTGTTGCAAAATACCCCAGAGTGCGGTCTGAAAATTTTAACTAGGTTGTTCTTAGTTCTGAGCTAGCAGAATGCTACCAGGTGTTCCCCTGGATCTCTGTCTTAACCCATACAACTTAAAGGGTATGAGAAATGACAATTCCTGCCAAAATATTTTTGTATTTGGTTCAGAACTCAGCTGAATTTATTTTTAATTTCTTTATTTGACTAAAGGGCTGTAATTTGTGAGAAAGCATCATAAAAAATCAGTTTGATGTGAGGATCCATATGCTCACTTTATATGCACAGAAATTCAGAGTTTCGTTTACAATTCTCGAGTTCAGGTTTAAGAGGAAAAGCTTGTGACAAGCTTAATCTTTAATGGGAGAAAGAAAATATTTCCTTCAGTCCTCCTACAGACAGAGGCAAGCTACACTCGGTGTCAGGCCAAGTATCTTGATTTCTTCTGCATTTCACTGTGAGAAGAACAGTTTGGTTTTGTTTAGCAAAACTCAGTGTATTCTCACTTCTTGCAAACGTTGTCTGGCTGGGCTACAACATTTACAAATGTAAATGACAATAAATAATAAATGTAAATAAGACAATAAATAATGCTCTGCGTAGTGAGTGTTTCTTGATACACTTGATTGATCTATTCTTTATTCTAATAGGTCCTTCCAAGGACAGAAATAGGACACTTGTTTTCAAGATGACATTTCTTTATCAGGGACTGAACTATTTTTGCACATCAGCTTACAACGTGTGCTTTGCTACCCTCGAGTAGGTTGTGCCTCTGACCAGTCTGCACAAGCCCTAAGTGTGACAGAAACACCAGAGACCACAGAAACGACACCCAGATGCTTGAAAATGCTGTTCCTACCAAGCTTCTTGGGAGTGCGGGTAAAGGTTCCCTTCACAGTTCGGCAATGCGAGTTATCCCCGCCACAGACGCCACACTTATCTTCAACCTTATTGGAGCCAATTTCCTTGTCACAACCCACTTTCTGCAGAAGGAAGAGCAAAAAAAAAAAAAGAGAAGGCTTTGTCATTGGTTGTCACTTTTAATGACGGTGGGAAGCCATTGCAAAATGAATGCCTAGAGGAAATTACCACCCAACACTATTTAAACACAAATTACTTGCAAATCTGGTGCTGGATTTTCATGTGCAAATGGATTCTTGCTTTATATTCACTGTACTTCAAGATTAAGAAAGATGGGAAGGGCAGAAAAAGAGACACATATCAACTACAAAAAACAATAAATCCACAAATAATAATAAAAAACCCCTCAACTATACACACACACAGAAAAAAAAAACCCAAAGGAAACTGTCCTACTGTAAACACCATACACCAAATAAAAAAATCCCAAAATTAAACGAACGACACAATTTTCAGACACAAAACTAAGTGCGAAAAAGGCAAATGAAACGATCGGTTGAGAAGTGGAGTGATTCCATGGAACAGGTCTGTGCTGTTGCTCTAATTTAATTTACATCTCAAGGAATTACCAGGAATATGATGCTGCAAATTTTCAATTTAGAAACATCTGCAATGTCTGTCTCTGCGTAGTGGACTGAGTTGTTCTGACTGATTTTAACCAGGGCTGTTCTGTACCACGGCACAGCTCAGACTCAGTGAGGACCTTGGGAAGCTGTCACTCACCACGCATTCTCCACGAACACAAATGCTGTAGGGATCTTTATAGGAACAGCGAGTCCCATCGTGTGCCAGCTGCTTCATATAAGCAACATCTCCGGTTTCTTTGGATTGACAGTACAGGTGACATCTCTTATTAGCTGTGTAGCAAGGGAAGAGAAGTAACTGCATAAATTAACAGCAATCCAGGTGTGTTTCAGAAGAATATCCCACTGAAGGAGTGAAGAGAATATGACTGGGATAGAAAGGACCTTGAACAGACAGCTGTGGGGATAAGAAGAAACTGATTTGCTTCTCTGTGAATGATGGGCCTAGCACTTGGAGATCTTCTCCCAGAAATCAGTTCCCTTCTAAAAAGGCTCCCAGGACTGGGTTCTCAACTGTTCTGAAAGCAGCTTTCACTCCGCTCCTGTTGGGAACAGGGCTGAGTTTCCAAAATCACAGAGATGCAGAAAAACGACAGCAGAAAAATAAGTCTGTGAGAAGATGGTACTAAAGCCAGGTGAAAAGCACAGAGGGTTTGGGTCTCTCACTTTCTTTATCCTTTTTTGAAAATACCAGCTAAACACATATTTCCTGGTTCATGTCTGAATCTCACTCCTCAGCCAACTGTACAAAGGGTATCTCAGGAGGTACCTGAGGAACAAATGTCAGCAACTCCACCACGCCTTTCAGAGAACTAGAAATCTGTCTTGGTGCTTGAAGCTGCCCTTGTCACTCACGGTCATTACTGGGTTAGACTAATGTTAGTAGCAAACTTCTTTCCTTCTGGAGCCATCTTTTTTTTCCTGCTTTTCAGTCTCTCCTACACTTGCTCACACCCTGATTATTTCTGTTCTCTGCATGGCTGATGAACAAAACTCCCCCACAAGATCTGGGAGAGTCCAGGACTGACTCGTACGAGAGGCAAGTAACAGCACTTACAGTCAGGGTGTTCGTAGGGCAGCCAGTGGTGTTTGCTGTTCTGATACTCAAAGTGGGAATTGCGTTGCTGACATTGCTGCGCTCTGAAGTCCTCAAAGTGCTTCGCACACTCCTCTGTGTTGCACAGTTGAAACTCAAAATTGACACCAGCGCAATCTTCACCTCCATTAATGGGCCTGTGAAGAGAAGAACATGCAAGAGATTCTAAAACCTCTGGATTTTTCTTCTGTCTTAGGGGAAATGTCGATTTTAAAGAGATGATTTTGCAATAAAAGGCGCGTGAAGTGACAGAGACGGAAAGGCAGCAGTTACACCGCACAGACGCCCACTGGCAGGATAACATCTGTGCTTGCCCAGGCATCCCCCAGGCATATGCTGAGATGCAGGAGTAATCCACGTGCACATGCACGCTGCCAAAAGTCGATTTACAATTAGAGATTATCTAAGTTTATCTTGCAGCTTGCTGAGCTCACACACCACATACTCTTCACGCTCTTACACGTCAGCTAAATCCTTGGGATACTTTTCCACAGGCTTTCCTCTCTAAACTCCTGGATTCTCCAAAAATGATCCTGGCTCCCTGCAAAAAGCCATGTTTCAAGGGGCTTCAACAGAACGTGAATTTTGCCAGACTCTGTCCAAAACCTAAATGCCATTTAAGCTGACACCTCGAACGATTCCCAGTCGACTGGAACTAGCGCCCAGCCAGAGGACCTACATTGGATTGTTGCACTGGCGTGTTCGAAAGCGAACTCCAGTTCCGCATGTTCGTGAGCAGGAGCCAAATTTTGTCCAGGGTCCCCAGTTGCCATCCTGCTTCAGCTGGTTAGCGTTCTTCCACATGCAGTGACCTTTATAGCACCACTGAGAGAAATTGGGCAAAGAAAACAGATGAGAAAAGAAACAAAAACCAGCTCAAATGTATAACTGTGGTAAAATTAAGAACACACAGAGATGATCTCGCAGGCTGAGAAGGGACATCTCAGAGAACAGGCTGCAAGCAGAGACTTTCCTGGGGACAAAGGGGATGAGGGTCTATGGAACCGTTTCACGGGCAGACACGTGAAGCTCAACACGTTCCACCCTCCTCTTCACTTAAGTAAATCGTTGTTTCATTTGAGTCTTAGTCGCTACCACCTTTCTGAAGGAATTTTCATGTTCTGAATATTAGCAGGGTAAAGATTTTGCTGATGATTAGATGCGCTTTGTTTTTTTTTTTGTTGTTTTTTTCTTTCTCTTTTTTTTTCCTCATACTGGCCAAATATCACACTTCTGCAAATAGGCAGGAACAAGAGGGCTAGTCACTGGGCAGGGTGTTGTTTTGCTGCTGGCTAGGGCATACTCAGATGGCATAAGTGGCTCTCCTGTATCTCAAAATACACAGAATTTGCTAAACAAACATTTTTTTGGAGTATAATTTTATAATTAAAATGAATTAGCAGCAGGACACCCACTAACGGGGATATTAAAAGGGAAAAATGAAGAGCTAATCCTAAGCCTACACAAACATTTAACCACCAGATGTCTGGACCACAAGCACTAAGAAGTGGTCCTACAGTAATGGCATTATCTGTTACCTTGGATTCCTGAAGACACTTTATGGACACTTTGCAGATGAGACAAGCATCCAAAAAAACCTAACAAAAAGGCCACAAAAGTGGCTGAGAATGGGTTACACCACAACCACGGTTTCTATGTTCAAATATGCCTTTGTACTACAGCAAACCTTGTCCAGTTCACAGAATATCCCAGTGGGAAAGCACAGCTCCCTCATTTCCCTTCCCCTGGCTCCACACAGGGGATGCCGGGCAATTCCCCGCTTTCTTCTGTGTCCTTCAACCCAAACGAATGCAACTATTGGGGTTTTTTTTTTCCACTACAAACATAAAGAAAACACAATACTCACTTTTCCAGGGGCACATTCCGTCCCATCGAGTGGAGGTCCTTTCTTAGTCTTGCAGAAATAGGGGTTATCTGGATGGCTACACCACAACTGCTTGCATGGGTCAAAGGTTCGGAACTGAAATGCAGAAGGTTTATGAAACAAAACTCAAAAACATTAGATTATGAACGTTCTTCAGATGAGGATTCAACCCACCCAAGTCAACTCATCTCACACACGTGGCTGCCAATAAAGTACAGTATCTTCAGAAAGAAAAGGGCAAAATTATCTTCAGAAAGAAAAGAGCAGTGGATTCCCTTCATCTCCTAGTCCTGAGCTGGTGAGAAGACAGGAGGAGACACTCAAAAGGGGGAGGAAAATGAGGTTTTTTTTCCCCCTTCTTCCTCAGGGTCACTACCACAAGTGTGTGTCATGCAGACTGTGCTGCTGTCCACTTGACCATTAAACCAAATGACCTAGATGACTGGGTTTCACCCATAAATATCTCTCTCCTCTTTATAGATCTGTTGAAACCACTCCATTAACTGCTCTTCAATTATGAAAAAATGCATATATTGCAGCTCTTAAATAAGGCCAGACACCGGGTTGCTGAATGGACATTTGTCTTTGCCACGACTGCTTTGGACGTACCGCTGTGCACATTTTATAGCCAACGCCAAAATCAAAGCGACACTGTTCGTCCATGGAATAATTGATGCCTGGCAGTTCAGGAAGCTTGGGCCAATCGTGTTCGAAAGGGTCATCAAGAAGACAGTCGTAAGAGCTGTGGGACAATACACAGAAAAAAAACTCCATGAGAAGATGCAGTAATTTTCTCTTTTTGATCAGCAAGATCCAAGTACTTATTCTTAGTAAGGCAGTACTCCCTTTCTCCAACCTGTTTTGTGTCCTGTTGACATAGTTACTGCTCCCCAAAACACAGACAGTCCCTTCTGTAGGACATGACTGAGCTTTGGCTGGGAATATCCAGCAGCAAAATCCCTGCATTTGCTAGAGATGGTGGAGAGGCATCTCCAGCCTGTCCCTGCCCCAGCCAGACAGGTGAAATTTGCACTTGATTTTCTGTCACCAGAGGCAGAAAACAAACACTCCTCCACTTTGAGTGCCAAAGGGCAACATCTCAGTGGGCTTCGACCTGGAGTATGACTCCTCATACAAGGCCTAACACACAGCCCACTGTAGTCACAGTGGGTCTTTCCACTGACTCTAATAGCACTTTGAAACAGGACAGTAGTCCGAGAACAGGCGTTCTTACCCAACATCTACCATGTTCACAGGGATAAAGCCCTACCTATGCAAAGGGCAAGAATAAGGCTTGCTTTTTACTCATTCCTCTTTTAACTCTGGTGTCTTAAAACATGGCTACTGGTGGGCTGCTCCTCCTGCACTGAGATATTTCATTTTAAACTCCAAGGTCTCCATCAATTACCCTTTTATGCTTAATGTTACGCATAGGTTTTCTTCTGTAGGAGATGTGGGTCAACTCATGAAGTCTGTTCACAGAGTCACAGAATGGTAGGAGTTTGAAGTGACCTCTGAAGACCATCTAGTCCAACCTCCCTGCTAGAGCAGGATCACCTAGAGTAGATCACACAGGAACACGCCCAGGTGGGTTTTGAATGTCTCCAGAGATGGAGACTCCACAGCCTCTCTGGGTAGCCTGTTCCAGCGCTCTGTTACCCAAAACTGTTTCACTCAGTTTTGACTGGAAAAAACAGCTATTTGCAATGGAAGCCTGAGTAAGAACTGGATGAAGAGGCACCTACATGGAAGGAGAGAAGAGTCACCAGGGACCCGTTCTCCTCCCTAATTCAGACACGTGCATGCCGTCTTCTCTCTTCCACAGCTTTTGCTAGTTCCTTTTCTGAGTTTAGTTTCATGGCATAACTCCTAGAGAAATCAAAATCTAGGGAGAACACCAGCTACGCAACACAGAGGCTGCCAGAGAGACTCCGGCTGTGCTCCTCAGAGGATGCACTGGGCTTCGAGTACAGCCCTAAGTGAGGAAGCCCTGCTGCTGGCTTATAGCTTTTCTAACATAGATCTGAAGGAAAAAAAGCATACAGCAAAAAAGGTGACCAAAAACTGCTCCCCTGGAGGCAACCAGGTGTGGAAAGAGCAGTGCCTCACTGCTGGAACACCTCTGAAGGTTGAGCCCCTGTTTGGAAGCAGGAGGCAGGCTGCCCCAGAGGCTCCCAAGCCTCAGGACCTCAGAGGCCCCAGCACCACTGTGTTTATACAAAAAGGGCTTCTATGGTCAAGGGTCCCATTTAGGATGGATGCTCCTGCACGCTGGGATTGCCTCTCCTCTCTTCTCCTCTCCCTAGCAGAGGGCAGCACACTGACCTCATGTCCCAGGAGCTGCAAAGACATCAGTTCCCTTTAGTAAAACAACTACCGCCGAGTGCCAACAGCTCCTTACTGGATATATCTTTTGAGTTCTTGGCCGCTGCACCTGGACCAGTGGTAGCGATGAAAGGCAGCCTGCACCAAGGGAGCCATGACACTCCCCATTGCTGTCTCATCCCCACATCTGTTCCCTTGCCCATCGTGCTCCATTCCCAGCCTGTAACAAAGAACTCGCATCAGAGCCCAGGCAGTTTCCACTCTTCAACTGGTAAAACAGCTGGCAAGAAAACAGGTTCTCATGCACGCGTAATCACGCAAAACGAAAACGTTCTTTGCATTGGACAGGTATCACCTGCATTTCAAACCCATCTTCTTTGACACCAAAACGTAAGGACTCCCTGAACTCTCTTGCCTTTATACTTCCTTTTATTTTTTAATACCAGGAATGAACTAACTAGACGATGATGACTTAATGCTGAGGATAAAGGAAAACAACAATTCTGCTCATTAGGGGGTAGTTCCTGTAGACACTGAATCGTTCATGTTTGTACACTCATTTATCAAAAGAGCCTGTTTAAACACAGAGCTAATGCAGTTACCACATTGCATCTCCCAAGGGCTAACACAGTTGGCATGTTACATCTCCAAGCATGCACCTGCTACAGCAAGTGATCTTGTCATCTCCAACTGGGCTGAATTCCTCCCAGTGAGCTGAACAAGTAGCCTGCACTACTTAAGGAAGACAAAAATAAAATCCTCAGTGCCTGACATTAATTCATCCAGACAGCTAACAAAGATCTGCGCTTAATCGGTTACTTACAACCTAACATTTAATCATTCTTGGAGGAGGTTCCAACTCTAGCAAATCAGCACTTAAAGTCAATGAGAATGAAGAAGTTACCAGATTCTTGACAAGCTACTGTCTCCACTGCCTGGGCTGCCTTCCTGGTTTCTTACTGACCTCCTCTTCAACCTAGAGAAAGCAAGTTCCCCCCCTCTCTTCCTTTCTTCTCCCACTTAGCTCTTCCTTGCTTAAACCACTGATGCATTCCAAGGGGATGGAAATGAAATCAGGATAGCTTTCGTACAGCCATTAAAATTAAACTACTTGAAGCAAGCAGGAGATGCAGCATCATATTTTCTTGGCAATCTAATTGTAAAAGTTCGACTTACACGTGACCGGTTTCATGAGCAACCACAAAAGCTGATGAAAACCCATCCTCATGGTTGAGAGTACAGCTTCGGACCGGGTGACACATGCCAGTAACAGGAGCATATCCTATTGAGAGAAAGCATGGCTGATTCTTTTACCCATTACATTTATTTTACATGAGACCCCCCAAAAGAATTACTACCTGAGAAGAACCTAGGATTATATTATTTTGATTGTCAGTTTTTTCCTCTGTCTTTGCAATTGCTGTCAAACACAGTAAACAGCTCTGACATACTGGGACTGATTCCATGGACATCTGTGTCACTTCAGGCACTTAAACTTTTATCACCAAAAAATGCACGAGATTCCTGTTCCATTCCAAGGCAGAGCTATATACTAGGGATTTTTTGCATGTGTTCACATTAGTACCTTCATCTACATCCTGCCTGGTGCATATTGCACATCTTCTCCTCAGTAAAAGTGAAAATCTGATGACAGGGAAGTCTGTTCAACATCTCAACCCAACCAGTTTCACTCCAGGCATGCCAGCCCAGACACGAAGGAGAACTCAGGCCCTTATCTCCCTCTGAAAGGTGAAGGGAGCATGCAGGTACTGAACACCCATCTCTAAGACATCTCCAGCCAGACAGCCAAAACATGGTCTCACACAGACTCTTCTTTAGCTACACTGACGTAAGTCACACTTGGTGAATTTACTTCCCATTATCATTAGTTCCTTCAGTCATAATGATGAATGCAGGTATCACAGTAGCCAGCAAGCTATCTATAAAAAGAAAGCTACAATGAACAATGCAATAAAATAAAAGTGAAGTTGAAGGCAAAGTGTGCTGAGCGTTCCTAGTGACCCCTGCGCGCGCACGCACAAACACCTGGTATTTGAAGAAAATAAGCAGCTATTTACTTACATCTCTCAAGTAAGAAATGTCACCTGCTACAGTGAGATGTAAATGGCAAGGGCACCACGGCAAGGTCTACTTGGACCAAGCTTCAATGCATCTTTAAAATTGAACACTTCCTTAAGCAGTGGCTGAATAAAGGCCTATGCTGCTTATTGCCTCAGGACCAGATAACAATGCAATTTTCCAATTTTCCTCTTTTCTGGCAGATGCTAGCCAAGAAACACCAAGTCCAGGTTGTTTTGCTCCAGGTCAGCTGCATTACCTTGCATACCAGCAGGCCCAAAGTCTTGCCTGGTTAAGAAGATGGCATGATCATGGTGCTCAGAGTGATTGGGGTCCGACTTCTGCTGCTGATAGGCCCAGCGGCAAACGTTCTCCAAGCTTCTCGAGGGATTCCCCCTTTCAATCAAGCTAATGGACTGAAAGAGCAACACATTAGACCCAGGAGCTCCTAAAGGTAGCAAAATCAGACAAGTTTGGACTTTGGAGCACCAACCAGGTCCCCGTTTCTCTCTTCCTAATACCCTGTCACTCTAAAGTCATGACAGCCGCCTTTCCTATGATAAAAGAAAATGTGTATGTTTAACAGTGACCATGCACGTGTAACAGTACATCTTTAAGGTTTTTTTGGAAGACAGTTTAATGAGTGTTCACATCACCTGTGAAAATAACTGCCTTTCTGTGTCTAGCCTGTCATGTGCAGGAAGAACACACACAGCTTGATGCTAGGATTGAGTAAGGATGTTTTCGTTTCTTTTGTTGGAACTTGGTTACATTCTGGACTGCCAGATGACAACGTGACTCAGTTGAGATGAATGAGCACGTAGTGACACATGTAGTCTGCATGGAGGAAGCAACACAAACATATAGGACAATGCCCCAGCTGGTGCAAAACTCTGTAGGGCCAGTAAATGTCCACTGATGAACACAGATTAAACATCTGTCGGTTTCTGCTACAGTGTGAGCCTACAAGCTCAGTAAATTTAATTACAAGACAAACGTCAAACCAGTCTTTTGACTTGCCCAAATTCAATGTCTGAGCTAAATGGAACAGACATGATTTTCATCAAACCCTCAACAGCATTACTGCTTTCCTCTCATCCTGAACAATTTAACAAGCATTTGTTTCAAAACTCTCTCAGTTTCTTTTACCAGCAAAATCAATGTCCTGTTACAAGTACTGTTCAGGGTACAAAGTGGAGGAGCGTGCTGTGACCCAGCAACAAGGGTGCACACAAAAAGAGAAAAGAAGATAGTTACACCAGCAGACTGTTTGGAGGGGGTGCCCCTGCAAGCCATGTTGGTCAACCAAGCCGATTGCTTCTAGTAAATTGATTTAATTCCCAAAAGACTCAAAACTGCAAGAATTGAGGCTGCAAGCCTGAGCAGGCTGAGCCAGTCCTGGACCTGCAGCACAACAGGGACACTCAACATCAGCCTCAGGAACACACACTTAGCCCAAGCCACGCAGGGAAAGCAGTTCTCAGGACCTAGCTGTTCAGTACAGGTCTGCTTCCACAGCCCTTCATGGGATTCACATGGACTGTAATTCCAAAGAAGCTGAAGGCAGAGAAATGGTTGAGGCTTGCTTACCTTTGCGTACCCCAACATGATCATTCGGACCAGCACAACATTTATGTGAACACCCAGGGATTCATCATGGTAAATTTCATTCACCTGAGAAAAAAAAAAAAGGAAAAATTAAGAAAGGGGACTTCTAAGGCCACTCATACGTTATTTCAAGTGCTTATATCCCTACAGTCTTCTCAGAAGAAGATTCAAGTCTCAGATCATTTCCATGCCGTGGGAAACGTCGACTACACTTCCTGTCATCACACACCCCCTCACACAGAACTTCCTGAAGCACACGTCAAGAGCCCTCTCAAGTTTAACAGCCTCTGGATCAAGGCCAATAGAAAAGGTGATTGAGGAAAAAAACCCGAAACTTCACGTTCAAACCCTGCAAATACTGATCTGAATGCTTAACTTCACTCATTTGATACACATAAGGAGGGACATGAGGTTATTCCTGAAAGCAAGGGTATAGCGGTGTGTTCACATTCACTGAGGGATTGAAAAGCAGATAGAGCTTGCTTTAACAACAGATAAACCCATCACCATCCATCCCACGTGGCCACCTCTGCTATGACATCTGGCCACCCTAGCTGTGGATCAATCCCAGATTCTGTTCCTATTTGTTTCATCAACCATTTGCCTTACTTCAATCAGTTTAAACACATGGGATGAGTCTTTTAGTGGGGAGAGCAAGCAAGCATACTCTTGTTCGTTTCGTAAAAGGTTCTGCTGCCAGTAGCTCTCACTTGAGGAGATGTGCCCTTGACTTCAGCAGAGGTTTGTCCTTGGAAAATACTCGAGGATTTGACTTAAAGCCATTTTTGCATTCTGAAGCTCTAGGCTGGGAAGGCAGAAAATTAAGACAATGACATGAACAACAAGGCTCAGTTTCTGCACACAGGTAGGCACATGTTCAGCTTTAAAGATGTGAACAGTATTCTTGATTCTCAATCAAGTCTTAAAACTAGTGGCCAAAGTGTCTCCAAAAGTCCCAGAAACGCTTTGGAAATTTTCATCTGAAAGTTTTAAAGTCAACAGCACTGCTAGAGGCATAAACACTGTAGCATTTCTACAGGGTAATGATATCTCCAAATACACTTGGTTGCTGCAAGTCAACGCGTTCTGTTAAAAAAATTCACCATCTGCATGAAAGCATGGAACGTTTACGTGATCTGGAAAGACTTCCTACCTTAAAAACAACTGCTGGCCTGAGAATTACACCCGTCCGTAAGACAACATCATGGGACCTCAAAACTCTAGTCCTCAAGGACTGTAGAAAACATACAGGAAAGAGCAAACTTCAAAGCCCACAGGGAGCCCTCCTAAAACAGTCCATGGCTTCGCACCAGATCAGGTCTGCAGCAATCTCCAAGGAGTTCTCTACGCATCACTTAAAGGCAGAATTTTGCTTCAAGTGTTTCGAGCCCCATTTCCAAAGGAAAGAAAGACGAGACAGTCACTCCCTCTGTTATTTCTAATGCCCCGTTTACCAAGCTCCAGCAACACTTGCAAAAGAATAAAGACCTCAAGGAAATGTAGTATCCAGAAGTTTTGTGAAAATAAGCAGGTGATTAGAAGTAACAGTCTTCTTACTGCACACAAGGAAAGAAAGACTGCATGTCCTTGATGACACACAGATACAGGAGCTCAGAGAACGCTCCCAGCACAAGAGAAGCTGATGTCCCATTGGAGAGCCCAGCCACGAGACAGAAATCCAGAGGTGACACTGCAGTTCCACTGCTCACTGACCTTCTGCAATATTTCAGGCTGGTTTTTGTTTTGAAGAATTTTTTTAGAAGCAGCTAAGACTGCTGCCCTACTTTTTAGAAATACATTAGAATTATGTGGTCACTTTTGTACTAAAAAGAGTATTTGTGGAAGTGACATTAAAAAAATCCAGAATTATGCAGATGGGTCAAAAATTGTTCTTCTTGAGAGCCTGCCTTATGTCTGGGAAGGTGAGAACTGTCCTGCCACCAGAGTATAAATTAGGGGGCTAAAACATCTGCAGATCATCAATGAAGTTACTGATCCTCCTAAAAGGAGAATAAATATTATATTATGGGTACTTGGTGAAAAATAAATACCACTGTTTGGAGGCTGGTATATTTGAGCAGGATTTAGAGGGGTTTTTTTTTTTAGTCAGGGTAAACAGAAATTCCCCCTTCCCCTCAGGGAGAAAGGTCATTCCAAGTTGTCCAGACTGTGGGACCTGGCACAATGATTTTAGGCCATGGTTTTTAAAAACACAATCCCTTTTAGAACCAGCTGAGAACAGACCGCCAGCGGGACAGTTTTACAAGGAATGAGCACATAACTCAGACTGTCCGTCTTGTGAAGCAATTATTCCAAAGTTCAATTCTTCATCTCCTATTTTCTCCCCATAACACAACAGCATTGCTCCCACAAAGGTCTGTGTCAGAAAACACATTCACAATTTTCCTTGTGCCAAGAAACAAGCAGCTTCTCAGGAGTAACTTTCCTACAGACAACAAGGATCCTGGAATTGAGCTAAAGATTCAAGTTTCCTTTGAGATTTCTCTGCAACACCATTTTTTACCCCACTCTCTGTGGATCACTTTGGAGGGCTCCACTACAGGATTCCCATGAGGAGCAAGTTCACCTACAAGAAGTCAGTCAGCACTCTTGGTGGGACAGTGATGACAACTCCACAAAGTGGGGAAGAATCTGTTTACTGAATATTGTTCAAACAGACAGAATAAATGCAAACGAACTGCAAGGCTGCAGTAGGGGACACTGGAACGAGGAGATAACTGCCAACCAAGGGACTTTGGTGCTTTGGTGGAAACTCACCTGTGTTTATGCAGCAGGAACGTCATGGGTGAACTCACATTCCCAAACTGATGGACTCGTAAGACAACAACGGCAAAACTGAAAGCACCCTCTAGCCAGACCTCCTCCCTGAAGGAGAAGAGGCTGGATTCTCACCTGGCACAGAAATAGCTGCCTCTTGACCCACCGTCAACACTACACCCCCGAGGTACATTGGATGGTTCCTCTGAGCACCTCTTGCAGTACGAACTCCTGGTAGCTGGCCTTTCAAATTCAGGACAGACAGCAAGCTGTGGGTGTGTGGCTGGTTTTGTGCAGGTACCGTGCAAGTCCCTGCCAGGGCTGCCCACCAACCTTACCTCCATGGTGCCCAGGTAGGGGCTGCAGGCTAATCCAAGGCAACCTGCAGCCCTGCCAAGGACTGAGGTCCCAAATAACTTGGCAGCAGGTAAACCATTTGCCCAGCAAAGGCTCACCCACTGTCACAGTCTCCCCAGACCAGGTCCCAAGGTCTGCCAACACAAATGGTCCCTTCTGGCTTTCAGCTGCAGGAGGACGAGGAAGGATGGATGCTGCTGTTGGGTCCAAGTACCCAGAGACAAGGGTACTCTGCCCCTACTCCTGTTTTTCACAGAATCATAAAATACCAGGTTGGAAGGGACCTCATCTAGTACAGCCTTTTTTGGCAAAAGCACATTGTAGACAAGACGACCCAGCACCCCGTCCAGACCAATCTTAGAAGTGTCCAATGTTGGCGAATCCACCACTTCCCCGGGGAGATGATTCCAATGGCTAATTGTTCTTATAATGAAAAATTTTCCTCTCATGTTCAACTGGAATCTCCCCAGGAGTAGCTTCTACCCTTTACCTCTTGTCTTTTCCATGTGACTCCTTGTAAAAAGAGAGCCTCCCCTGTTTCCCACTCCTCTGCCAGTTTGCATTCTACTTGCTTTCCCGCTGTTCTCCCGCAGATTCTCCAAGGGATACTCCACAGGAGATCGATCAGGAATGGTGCCAACACTATGGCAGGATTCGGGGAGATGGAGGCTACAACTCCTGATGTGCTCCTGGGAAAGGTAAGATCAGGAAAATGTCGATTCTGTCACCTCAAGGAATTCAGCTGATACTGCCCAGCAAGGGACAGGTCACCGAACTAGCGAAACAACCTTAGGGGAATGACATGTTCTCCCATGGGTGCTCTTAGCCCTCAGCCCGTCTGGGAAAGGGAAGGGAAGGGAAAACAGGCTATCAGGGACTTTGACAGCTCATGCTGTGAGATAATGGTAAAACTTCACCTAATAGCTAGGGACCACACTAGATTTTATTGCTTTGGACTAGATGAGCCCATATGGGCTTCTGACTTCCAGCGCAGACCCTTAACAGCCGTTTTAGATGCATTGCTGATGTTGGGTTTTCCAGCCTGTTTCTTCAGCCAAGAGTACGTACAGATATTAAATATAGGGAAACATCTCGGGCATTTCTTTAGCTGGAACGGAACCTCCAGGCCTGGAGCTCCCAACAGCAGGGCAAGGCCGTGCAGGGCTTGGTTCCCAGTGAGCCACCTCTGGCACCCGGAACAGCACAGTTGTCTCAGCAGGGCACTGTGCCCAGGATCACCAGTCTTGGCACAGGGTTGAGTGAATGTGATTTAACACTGCTTTTTTGCACTTGAGCCAAGTAGTGTTGCTTACGATGCTTGTATATATTTGTTCTTTTGAAGCTACTCTGGAGCTGTCTTGTACAGGATGCATTACACGTGGCAGAACTGCCCGGAACTTCCCTGCTTGGGAAGGCAAGTCTCAGTGAGTTACCATCAGCCTTGCAAAGCTCTCCATGAATGCTGTGATCATCCATCACAAATCCTTTCTCATCTAGAATACCCGACTTCTAGGAATAGTAAAAGATACAAGTTTAGATAGGCAAGGTTCAGCTCTTGGACCTTCACCCCACTAGATCCAAACCTAAACCTGAACCAAAGCCAGGTTGATGGCTGTCAGGCAAATTCAGCTGTGCTGAGCTGTGTCTGCTGATAGCAGCAGCGGATTGGGCTGCAACAGCCGCAGTCCCAGTGGCTGGTGACCTTCTAGGAGCAAGCAAAGACTTGCTCATGGGCTTTCTGGTTCCCTCACACAGTTTTCCCACAGCTTCTAAGATGTATATGGGTCTGACACATATGCACTGAGAAAAGGCCGCGTACTGCAAGGGATTATACATCTCCTTTACATTCCTTTCATGTAGTTTTTTTTTAGATTTCTTCTAAGGTGTGAAAGCCAGAAAACATTTAAGCTTGAGCAATTCTAGCATTCAGTGCTGGTATAATACATGACTTTTAACGTATAGTGTGAGCTGTGCTCTTCCATAATGTGCACTTCCATAGAAACTGAAAGTGTAGCTCAGGACTGTTATCTTTATACCTAGTATCTCACCCTTGATTTTAAGCCAGAAATGTATATGTAGACAAAAAATCCTCGCTAACCCCATAAGACACTCTATGAAAAAGCAGTTCTGTGAGTCTCTGTTCCTTTGCAGCTTCTACAGAAATATGGATATTGCCACACAGGTTAAGGAACGGACATTACTAGAAGGTTTGCTTTCTTTCCAAGAGCTGTTAGGTGTTTAGAACACTTCTTTTGCTCTGCATGTTTATTCTTTAACCAGGTTTCTTTCAGAACTGTGTTGCAGGACAAGTTAGGAATTATTAGAAATGTATCAGTTGACAACTATTTTCAAATTCTTGGAATTACCCTTGAATGCGCCCTAGAAAACTACTGCAAAAAAGATCAGTTAAAGGAATATATAGAAAAGAGAGAACCATACCTGACAGCAGACAGAACAATTGTGTTTGTGTTGAGTGTGGTCTCCTAGATACTCCTGCAAGAGATTACAAAGCCTTTTGCATTCCAAAACAAGCGGTGCAGCTCTATGGAAGATACTCACTATGTTCATGAGGGTGAGGAGGTAGTTTTGGACATGTTCTTTGCCATGGAATCGGACGACAGAGTCATCCACACCCAGCAGCACCTCGATGTTGTAGTCATCATCTCCCGCGTGCCGGCGTCGCCTCAGGGTTTCCTTCAGTTGCTGCTCTGTGCTGCCGTACAGGGAGCTCAGCTCGCCGGGGCTGCCGAGAGGAGGCTCTACAAGAAATAGTCAGACATCAACGTTTACTCCAATTCCATTACAGAAATATCCTCCTGCACAACATCCTCACCACTTCCTTGGATAAAATAAATCAGGAACTCTGAAGAGATGATTCTAGTGGTGTAGGGGAAATCACCAGATACCCAATGAAAACATTCATACAACCATATAGTTCTATAATTTATCCCACGGTTCTTATTTCAGGCATAAAGTTCATCCCTAAGGAGATTTAGGCCAAATTCTTCACTTCCTATCATTTTGCAACAAATCACACATGTCATAGACTTCCACAGACATGGGATGCCTCAGCATTCGCCGGGGATGCTGTACAACACTTAACTCCTGGCTTCAGTGCTCAGAAGCAATGCAGTCAGCCCCAGTTCACACTGAAAAGATCTCAGCAGTGTCGCGTGTTTCCCTTCATATCCCATCACTGGAACAGCTAAGCTACAATTTCTGACTGACTTACCATTTTTGCAATTCTTTGTTTAAAAAGCAGGTGTTGGAATAGCCTCTCCTGTGAATGCTAGAAGGGTCCTTTGAAGACATGGGTCAAGGGGCAGAGTTTGGATCAACCATTCTGAATTGGCTTTTAAGGGGATACATTCAATAGCCTATGGCTGCAACGGCTCAGAAGCTATTTCTTCCACTTAGGACAGTAAAGCAAAACATCACCACAGATTTTTTACAGGAAAAAAGTCACAGCTGTAGGCTACTTAGTTCTTCCTAAATCTGAGCCAACAAGCTCTAAGCAATAAACAACAGGAACGAGGCCAGTTTGGAACATCTCATGGCGTCAACCACTGGCTACATACTGCAGTCCTCACTAGGAACTGGGCCGCTCTTGTGTCTGGCTCTGTGGCAGTCAAGGAGCATCCCCATTCCCCAGCTCTTCCATTTAGGAGGAAGAGATGATACGGTCCTTAAATGCACAGGGATCTTCCTCCTCTGTGAACCCAGCAAAAGCAAGCAGCCTCAAGTTGCGCCAGGAGAGGTTCAGGTTGAATATTAGGAAAAATTTCTTCTCTGAAAGAGTGGTCGGACATTGACAGGCTGCCCAGGGAAGTGGTGGAGTCACCATCCCTGGAGGTGTTCAAGAAACACGTACATGTAGCACTCAGGGATATGGTTTAGTGGGCATCGTGGTGATGAGTTGATGCTTGGACTGGATGATCTTAGAGTTCTTTTCCAACCTTAATGATTCTGTGAAAGGCGAGGAAGGTCCTGCCTTCCACTCACACTGAGTCATAACAGGGCATGTCCCCAAACGACGGCACAGCTCTGAAGCCCTTTTTCTCTACGCTGCAGATGATGAAAACCAAGGTTGCAAGTACACAAACTATCCCTTCTCATCTTTTCAGGCAAGACTCCCAGTAAACTGGAGGTGAGTTTTGCTTGCGGAAGGACAGCAGGACTGGGGCCAATGCTTCAAAACATGCTGGATGGACACACTGTAATTCACCTTGAGCAGATTCAACTACTGGCTGAACCAGCTGGGAAGCCTCTCTCCTAAGGATCACAGGGGTTCACACCACCAAAATAACTCTCCCCAAACCCCACATCAAATGGCAAGGTTGTCCCAAGTTTTCAGCAGCTTAGCCCGCCACTGTGTGTGAGAGACCAGGTCTGCAAAAAGCATTACAATTCAACCACGAGTCCTCTCGCTCACGAGAACGTGCACCCTGTGAGAGCACACAAATGGGAAATTCACAGATGAGCTCCAGTTCTAAAAATCGCTGCAGCTGGCAAAGCTGCCGAGCACGGTGTCCAACGGGAACACACCAGGAACGTCACCGCACCGCGGCACGACTGGAACAGCCCAAGATCAATTCAGAAACACCCAATGATCTGCGCTCTGCAGCAACTTTGGTTTGGCCATCGCTTCCCTTCTTAAATAGGTGGTTTTGTGCTTCAAGCAAAGAGGAGAATCTCTTTCTTGTGTGCGTGTGAGCAGGCAGAGTGAGTCAGAAGAAATTCCTTTTTTTTTTTTTTTTTCATCCCTCTTGTAGCCACTTTCTGAGTATTCTGAGAATACACAGAGGGTATTCTCAATATGCCACTATTTTCCATGCGTGCACCCACAGAATATTTTTCAAGTATGCAATCCCAACAAAGTAAGAAAAAATAACCTCACTCTAGGAAGAAATGTAATGACCATTTTTGGCCAAGATTTGAAAAAAAGAGAAAGTAGTACTGGAAACATTCTCTAGCATTGAGCCTCCCACCTCCTGAAATGCAACTCACATACTTCTGTCCACAGAAACCCCAAACCTCCCCAGCTGGGCTCAGTGGTAAAAACCCAACCGTTTCACTCGACCATGAACACACGACTTGTGAGGACACGACGCAGTGCCTGCTCGAGCTACAGTTTTCCTGGTGCTGACTGATTTTTTAGGTTTTTGTCTGCTGTTCTTGGCACTACACAAGTACGTTACTACACTTACAACTATCCACTTTAAGGCTGATTTGAGCTACTTACCAGCTAGCGATTACTTAGCAAACTCCATGTCACATGTTGTCTTTCCTCATACCTTGCTGGGAAGTGAAGCTATCGTGTCCTCTCCTTAAAAGCACCTACAGTAAATTGCTACGCCCTGTCCAAAAAATACAGGGTAATACAAGTGGTTTATCTATTCTCTTGTCTCTTTTCCATCATCCAGTGTATAAGTCTTTCTAGGATCAAGCAATTAGAATTATATGTACTAACAATAGCTCTGTTTGCCAATGCTGTAATCTGCATCCATTGGTAAGCACTTAAGAGAACATAAGGGCAAAGGGATGATGGAGTGACACAAGAGCAGCAGCACAAAGTACATTCCTATAGCCCAGTCATTAAATTTTTATTTAATATTCAATGATTTCTTCGTGCTGTGGCTCATGATTCAGCTAAGTACTAGGGCACTAGCGGAAATTTCAGAAGAGCTCACAGAGTCAGTGAGTCTTTTCACAGCATTAAATGCCGTTCCAAATACCTCCAGCAACCTGAAGTTATTTACTGTAACTGATCATCATTAATTTTGGCTAACTCTAAGAAGTTTGTTCTGTGCTCACTGGTTTCAGCCAAGGTGTAGGAATCAGCAGGTATCCTTTGTGAGCAGCACAGAAAGTGTCCTCAAATGTGGTCTGTTCAGGAGATGGCCCTATTATTCTTATAAATACAAAATACACATGCAAAATTGAGAACCTCCCAGGCAGGCAGACACAGAGACAAACATATCAGATATTTTATCTAATCTGCTCCACAGAAGGCTGTCCACGTTTGCCTCTGGTCTACGCATCATATGGCTCCAAATGAAACTAATTACAAAGCCAAGCCCTATGTTTACTGTGAAGTTGTAGTGAAAATCATCTTCTAACTCCTTTCTGTGCTGAGAGCTTTCTGGCTTTGGGAGGGTGAGCTTTTCAGAATGCCACAATGCCCACAGTTCAGAGTTCTTCCAAAGGCTTAGAGATCCTGCAGCAGGAGACATCACGGAAAAACCTTAGGGGAGAGCTATTTACTGCAGTAGGAGTGCTAGGGCCAGTGAAGACACCACCGTTTAATTCATCCAGTAGGTACTTAAGAGGTACTCATAACAGAAGGGCAGAGTTCAGTCTGAATGCTTCTTGCCCAAAATCTTTGTTAATGCAGAAGTAAGGCTGTTGGCTGTGCTCAGCAAGACTTTCACAGGCTTTCTGTGTTGCAATAAATAGCAAACGCAACCATCCTTTTCCTTTTGACCCTCCCTCTCACCAAAACCAAAAGATATGTACGTTGTTTTCTTCAGTCCAAGGACTCTTCATAAGCATCTGCACGTGCCGGCTGACTCCCGGGGACAGACAGACGTCTGCAGCGCTAGTAAATGTGTTAGTTACCTCTTGGTAGTGTCACACGCTACTGGAACTCAGGACACACAACCCAGCTAAGGCTCTCGAGGTCATTAGGCAAAGGTTAACAAACAGGCACGCTGTGGCTTCCCCTGTGTACGGTTACAGGCTTGGGATCTGATGGGCTGTTAACAAAAACTGGCATTCCAGGAAAAACACACCATGGTCTCTGCACGTCAATCCAGGGCTTAGGAAAACGCGAGGGGCTTGAAGCTCATGTAACTCTACTGAGCACCAGGAGTGCAGGCAGCGTATAATCTGCAAATATTTAAATCCAGGGGTGGTTTCAGCATTGACATGAACAGTTTACACATAGGGAGTCCTGCAGATTTGTGAACTGAATGCCACAGAAGTGCCTTTGGACACCTCCTTACCTGCATGTTGGAGCTGCTGTCACCATGTAAGGGACAACTTTCCTTAGAAAACTCTTCTCTAGAGCACAGAGCAAGTAATTCAGATACAAGCAAAAGCTGGAGAAACGACACCCTTTTTATGAATGGGAAGAGATTACAGCAATGCTTACTAAAGTGAATTATTTAAATTAATAATTTGAAGACAAAGACTCTTTGCAAGTTGATTTCCAAAGCCCACCCAGCAGCTTAGAGCGCGTTGTCTGACACAGTAGGGAAGGCTGGCACCGCACGGCAGCGTTCTCCGTTACGCACAAAGGAAACTAAGTCAGTTTGTTTGCGGATTTATGATAGACAAGAGTAATCCTTCCTAATCTCATTCTGGAATTAGCTGGTTCATTATCTCTTCCTTTTTTATTTTGCTAGTCACCTGCATCTTGTACATCATCATCTTACCTGTCAGAAGAAGATTAGTTCATGCTCTTTCACTAAGGGAAAGA